TTATTCGGCTGAGGTTGATGAATGTGCCGAGAGATTGGGGGTTGATCGAGGTATTCGGAATATGAGAGCTCTACGGCAGTCGCTTCGAGAAAATTCGTTTGAGGGATGGACCAATTGCAGGTGGCAGGGCATTGGAGTTCGCCATTTTAAAGAGACCCCGAAAGCCAATAAATACATGTATGATAAGCAAGTACTTTCTGGGTCTGAATGGTCAAATTCCCTGAAACTAAATATTAATTATGCTCCCCTGCGTGGAGTCCCAGGTGTCAGCGGACAGGTAAGAGAAGTTGGGTCCCTCTGTCGCAAATGCGACAGAGAGCCAGAAACACCAGCACATGTGCTTGGAAAATGCCCCAACAACTCCCTCCTTATAACACGCCGTCACCACAGAGTCAAGCATGAACTGATGAGGCTCCTTGAAGAGAGAGAATACGCCTGTTTCGAGGAAGTATATTGTATAGATACGGATGGATCCACCCGATATGCCGACATTGTAGCATTCCCTAAGACGGGAAAGTCGGCGATGATTTTGGATCCGACCGTGAGATATGAGACCAACGACCTCGCTCAGGCAGAAAAAGTGGAAAGGGAGAAAAAACAGATATATGAGAAATGCATCTCTTTCCTTAGTGAAAAGTTCCGCGAGAGTTTCGGGCCGAGAGAGTTCCACGTGAGAGGCCTTTGGTTCGGAGCTCGCGGAACGATACCAGACTCAACAAGGAGCTTCATGGAGGGCCTTGGTGTCGACATAAAGGACGTGGCAAGGTTGGCGGAGAGTATAATCCTCGACTCCCTGGGAATCATCCACCACCATGTGCATGGGAGCGGATAGGGGGAGAGTTTCGCTCGCGGGGGGGAGGCATGCGTGTGTTACAGCATTTTTTATATTATTATTTATTGAACACGTCCACTGTACTTTATGTATTTTTTATGTATTAGGTTAGAAAGAGAGAGGAGAGAATGTGAGTGGGAACATGTATAGGGGGAGAGAAGGAAGAGAAAGGGTACAGAATGATAATAAATGAATGAAAGAAATAGTAAAAATTATAAAAAAAAAAAGGAAAAAAAAAAATAATATATATATATATACGTATAAAATATTGTATACTATGCTCATACATATTGTTAATCCTATAATTGTATAATAATTTTAAATAATGTCTGTAGTGATTAATAAGTATGCTGTGTTGTTAGCAACCCAATGTAATTGGGCAGCACCATTTTATTTTATTTTATGATAATAAAGTGATTCTCTCTCTCTACTACAATTGCTATACTATACATATTTGCTCTTGCTACCAGGCCTAATTGTCTCTAGATAAAATTATCGTTTTATATAGTTAATGAAGAATATTTTTTCTTCAGGGCAATTGCTAAAACGATGGCTTGTCGCCTTAAATGCCTCCATTCATTCCCGCTCGAAAGCCTCCATTCATTCCCGTTTTCCTCCTACAACATAATTCTTATTACTGCAATCAAATGGGCAGGAACGGGAAATATTAAGTTCCATATATTTGCAAATTTAACATGTTGCTAGACAAAAATAATCAAAATTTAGATCACACACTGGAGTACGAAAAAAGTTGTACTATTGGGGAAGGAAATCCAGTTAATGAAACCAACTCAGCCATAATTAGAACAAATATTAACAGGTTATTAAATAAATACAAAAAACATTTGCAGGAGGGTGAAAGGATAACATTGTATAGCTCGTCTTATTGTGAACATTTAAACCTTTTTCTTAATATTGATCAGATCACCCAGTACTTGTTGATATCGACTAATTTCAAATATACGAAACTATTAATGCAGATCCAACTTTGTTAAAATTGTTAAAATTATTCGACAACTTGAGTGCAAATTGTGCAACACTAACGAAAAGGGAACACTTCATCATATATTATTTAAATGCCCAATTTAGAGTAGTTTAAGGTTAAGAATTTACCAGAGTATGTAAAATCTTGATGGAATAGAAATATTTAATCCAACCAGTGCAGATGAGAGAAAATGAAAATGAAAAATATGAGAAAATTATATTTTTTTATCTCAATTATATCAAATTATAGAAAATTGGTAGGGTAATCTTTAGTGTTGCCCAAAATTGGTCTTGGTCTTGCAGTCTTGATCTTGGACTTGCAGTTTTGCATGACCAAGACCAAGACCACAAAAAATTTTGCAAGACCAAGACTAGACCCTGTAGTCCTACGCAAGACCAAGACCAAAGGCAAGACCCTGCTAGTCTTGCAGGTCTTGCAGTTAAGTCGAAGTGAAACTATTTTCAGATATAGTACGGTGCTTGAACATTTTAATCATCTAATCTAAACAGCGTTGTTTTTTCTTGTGGAATTGTATATTTAAGTTTAGCTTTCCAAATAATAATAAAAAATTAATCTTTTTTTTTTGTTCTTCCCCTACCTCGCCTTTTGGGTTATACGGGCGTTTTCGCGGGCCATGGATGAGGGCGGGGGATTTATGACAGAGTTAAAAGACTCCCGGGAGGCGGAACGCGAACTCATAATTATTTTACTGTCTCCAACTTCTGCCGGGCAACGCGCAGTGCTGTGCACAGTCGTTAGTCAGCTCGGACACCTCGCCCCTAAAAATTAATCATTTGCCAGGACCGGAGCAAGATAAGAAAACAAAACATGAATAAAAATTAAGACTAAATGGTTATTAATACTAGCCCATTTTAGTTACTACAATGAAACTTCTCAAAAGAAGCGGACAATCACAGAGAATAAAAATTGCAGAGAGATGTCCGTTTTAGAAAAATTGGAAGAAAAATAAGTTAAAAAAATATCAATTACAAAACTTAAATTGTATTTTAACAAATTATATCGTGAAAATAAAATCGTTTATTTCATTAAAAACATTTTTCTTTTCAAATTTACAATTTAAAAATATTTTTATGGGAAATTTGCATAATAAAATTGCACATAAGAAACGTAAACTTTTTTTTATATGTAGAAAAAGTAAAGAATAGTAATTTGTAATTTTTGTTTGGACTAGCGTAATTATTTTGTTTTTCAAATAGATAAAATCGTTACAATTATTTCACTTCCTCCTTCAAAATGAAATTGTTTCTCAGCCACTAACTAATTTGTGAGAAAACTTCTTTAATATGCACTCAGAGATCACGAAAATGTATTATCAGCTCAAAGGTCCACACCGAGTATAATTGTTCGAAATGATTGACGAACGCTGGAGGGTTAAGATACAAGCCTGGTGAAATCATACATGTACAACGGCATAACTCGAAAGAAATTATTTCTTTGCAATGACATTTCAGTGCTTGGCCCGTTGTTCGCAGTAATCGTTATTTCTTTAAAATATCTAACCACCAAGTTTTAATCGAGTGGCTAAATTGAAAATACTGAACTTTCTGATACACTCATTAATTACACATATTTTTCTTTGAAATTTAACCGGAACCATATTGACATATTATAATCAAGTGTGTGTAACTGACAACAAAGAGTTAAGACTAAATTCTTTTTGAAAACCGGATTCCTTGGCGGAACTAGTTCCGTATAGTCATCCCTAACTGAATATTTTTGGCTATAAATCTATAAATCCGGATTTCCTTGTTTTTTCGTTTTGTAGCAAAACTATTACGTGAGCAATGAATATATTATCAGAAATAATAAATGAAAATACAAAAATAAATGACATCATGGCAGATAACGTGAGATATCTTATTATAAAATTCAGTTGTTTTTTTTCGATCATTAGAAATTCTTGTTGTAGCTTCTGAATTCTTTATCTATATACTTCAAATAAGATATCATAATTTATGCTTTTTCATCTAAATAAATTTGAAATTTGGTTCATCTAGTGAAAAACTCGTTTTTCGAAAACTAAGAGATATCAATATTATTAGACTCCGCCATAAAAAAAAATATATATATATTTTTTTTTATACTTCTACATGAAACAGGATTCAGAACTTCAACATAAAATTCAGTATGAAATTATTTTATTTTAGCATATTTTTTAGACGCTTTTTTTTACTCATACCGGTGAATTCTCGTCCATGAATTGTTATTTATTTTTCTTATAGTTCTTCATTCTTATAATTGATAATTTTTGTACTGTACATCCTACCGATTTTTTATCTTTCCCTTTGTATTTTATTTGATATATAACTTATGGCCCAGTACTACATTAACGTTCATTGTTATTCTGTTCATAATAGTTATTAGCATTTACTAATAATTTAATTATATAATTAATTATTTAAGTTTATCTTCAGTCCGCTGGTGTTCCTCAAGGTAGTATCCTAGGTCCTATCTTCCATACAGTTTATACAGCTGACATCCCTGCCTATCCCAACACTGTCATCACCACATATGCTGATGACACATGTATCCTTTCAGTAAATAATGAACCATCAATTGCATCCCAAATGGTTCAATCACACATCATAAATCTTGAAGAACGATACCGAGGCGGTCTTGGTCTTGGTCTTGCGTTGGGCAACACTAGTAATCTTGAATATTGTCCTCCGCATATTATGTGAAAATTCCATATTGTACGTCGGCATGAAATTTGGCTGAGTATTTTTCTTGTTTGTTCTCTTAGGTATAGGGGTAATCTTTTAATTTAATTTTAAAACATAGTTTAATATTGATATTTTAAAAAAAATGTGTATTTATTGTTTTGTGTATATTTATTTATGTATATTGTCCACAATTTTAGATTTTATATTAATTTGATAACTGAAACTATTTTAACTGTCTGACCTTTACCGAATATGATTTTTAATTTATGCTCAAGAGTGTAGTGATGTCTGTTATGTAGTATAAAAAGGAATTTTTATTTCCATAAGGATAATAATGTTTGTTATTTTGTGATAGACTCCATCTGTGTAGGGTTCTTTCCTCAAAACAAATAAATATTGATTGATTGATTGAACATTACATTGTTCAATTCATTATCGTTTATTGAAACCACCTGAAATTCGTAAAATTATCAAATTAAAATTTTCTATCGGCTCTTACCTTTACTCCTTTCTTCTGTTAATAGAATAAAGTTGTGCAAAAGTTGATGCAATCTCGACGAATATTCCTTTTTCCATTTTTGAAAAATCTTTACTGTCTTGCGAAACGTACGAACGGAGCAAAATAGAGAAGAAATCTGTCCATTTTTTAATAAATGTGAATGATATAAGAAACAATTTTTAATTCATTATTTTTTAAATAAATTAAAATACTGTCCTTCAGTAAATTCTAAATTCAACACAATTCGATCACATCAGTTGAAAATTTTCTTTGCACATTTAGTGGAATCAAAATTAAATCAAACACTGCTGCATTCTAATATTTCCATCTTAGTGTAGAGAAGCTCTGGTTTAGATAAAAACATAATCTCTCTCTCTTACTGAGGTGTCCAGTAATCGCTGTATTGCTTTTAAAAATGTAAATGATGTACAGACCATTAAGTGCTTGGAATACTAATTCATTTACTGTAATATTTTTAACTATCAACAAAAACAAACGATGATTTCGTTTTTATATTCTTTTCTTCAACTTTATTCGATTTTAACTGCAGTATTTATGGTCTTTGTTCACAATATTATCTTGAATTCGAACTGTGTAAGTATAAATATAGAGTGCTGAAAAATATTGAGAAGCTTTCACTGATTCTGCATTTAATAAAATTAAGAATAATAACATTAAGGACCCATAACGGTATACCAAAACATAGTAATTGCTAAATTGTATACCTATTGATTGCAAAAATATCGATTTATTGATCTCCAAAAACATTCAAAGCCAATGTAGATTTTACTGATACGTTAGGATAAGAACTTCGATCTTTTTATTTATGTCCTGCAGTTGTAACCTAGATTGCTCGTCGCTGAAAGCAGAAGAACTAGGAAAAGAAAAAGATTAATTTCGGAAGTTTTAATAATTGATTTTTAAAAATCGAAACATCATCTTATTTTTTGGTTAACCAAGCAGTCTTTTTATTTTATTTTTAAATCAAACAAACTTACCGTTTATTTTATTTATGATCTTTATTTGAAGTTCTCAACAAACAGATAAAAATCTTGAGGTAGGGTCTAAAACGGGTATTCATTGTAAGAGGATGTTTGAATGTGAATCACGAAAATGTAAGTAATTTTAAGTACCTACTTAAGTCTATCATTTCATTCCGCTGATCTTTTTATTCTTCTTTTTATCCCCTTCCTCGCCTTTTAGGCTATCTGTTTTTTTTTTTTTTTTCCGGAGCCAGGAGAGAGGACGTACGAATTATATCCAGAGTTTTATATGCCTATTATAGTCTTAAAATGTGCGGGCAACGCATATTTTATACACGGCACACAGCTCGGTCACCTTGACACCTTCAGTCCGCTGATCTTGTGATATTGCGAAAAATGTGATTGCCTTTTCATAGTTTTTAACTGTATATGTGAGTGAAAACATGAAAGGTTGTCCAATCTCCCTTCCGCACAGTCGATGGTGCATGCACCTTCCCACTCAGCACTCATTAATGCTGCTCTCGCCCCAGTCATGATTGATGTTTCTCTTGTCTGGAATTGACACCATTCCTGCCGAGTTTAAACTCGTAAAACAAAATTATACGAATATCACGCGTTGACATCTTAGTAAACACTGAATACTTTCTAAGTAGCGAAATGCTACAGAGGTAAACAAACATTATCGTTTGGAAGAGGATTAAGAAACGTTGACATTCATACAAATGAATAATCCAGAAAGCGTAAACTGTAAAAAGGTATTTTAAAGAAAACTCAAAATCCTGCATTATATGCCGAACAACCCAATAGTTTGAGCCGTCAGATCTTCGATGTGTAACGATCGGGCAAAGTCGGCTAGAGTCGACTAATTGAACTATTTTTGCATATGAATTAAAATATCTCAGAAGCTGAAAATCTGACCTCCATACTGCAAGTAAGGACAATCTTCAGCATTTCGTCCTATTTATAATGAGCTATTATTTATAATTTATATTTCATGTTATTAATCTCGGCATGTTGCTGTTTTCACTTCTATCGAGTGGTCTAATGCACACACCTTAGTTGTTTTTTTTTTTACTTAATTTTAAAAATGGTTACAATTATTTTGTAGAAACGTACTCATCGGAGAAATTAAATTTTGAAAGTTTAATGAGACGGACATCAAAATTTTTAGCGTTGATAATTTCAAATCATTTTGTGCGAGTATCCTCATTAAAATTTTAAACATAAATATAAATTCAAATGAGATGAATTCTATAAACAAATCTGGTTTACTAGTGTTGGTCCAACTATTTTGTTTTAATATGGTGAGGGTTACTCTGTCCTTTCTCCTATGAATCCTACCTATTGGCCCACTTCCCTCAGAAAACGCCCTGATATCCTGGACATATTTGTCACCTCCCAGATTTCCTCTTCCCATGTTACAATCAAATCCCTGAATGACCTCCCCTCAGATCATTCTCCAGTTCTGCTTTCATTACACCCAACCTTCGCTCCTAAGTCCACGTCCCCTCTTACACTGATTACAGGACGAGTAAACTGGGACAAATTTCGGAAAGACCTGGAAAATAAATTGCACCTAAATACTCCACTTAAGACGAAACATGACATTGACACAGCCATAGAAGTACTTACTACATCTATAAGTGACAAAATAAACGATAATACTTCTATCAATAAAATTAACAACTCCAAACAGACAAACTTGCCACAATATACTCGTATCTTATTAAGGGAAAAACGCAGAGCAAGATCGAAGTGGCACAGGACCAGATACCCATCAGATAAGACATATTACAAAAAATTAACTAACCAACTAAAAGCTGAAATTAAAAAATTCAAAATTTACTTAACATGACAGAAAAACTTACTACTACTGACAAATCATTATGGTTGACTACTAAAAAGCTCCTTAAATTTAAAGATTTTAACCACCCACTTATTACTGGAACCCAAACTTGGTCCAGATCTGACGAAGAAAAATCACATATATTTGCTCAGCACCTCTTCAAAACATTTAATACACACCCAAATATCCTTAATCCTCCCCACCTTGAGTTTATTGAAGCAGAATTGGATATCCCACTCCAACTGACACCTCCACCTAAAGCATTTCATCCTTCAGAAATATCCAATATCATTCATAGATTACCTTCCCGCAAAGCTCCTGGTCATGACCTAATCACATCAAAGATCCTAAAACTGCTTCCTAAAAAAGCCATACTATTCCTCATCTATATATATAACGCTGTACTTCGAACCACATATTTCCCTGACCCTTGGAAGCTATCCATTGTCAAAATGATACCTAAACCCACGAAGCCGCTAGAACACACAACCTCTTACCGTCCTATTTCTCTCTTACCCATTATGGGCAAAATCCTGGAAAAACTCATCTTAAAACGCCTGTATCCTATCCTAGACTCTAAACAAATTATCCCAGATTACCAATTTGGATTCCGCACATCCCATTCCACTATACAGCAATGCCATCGTGTGGTAGATGTAGTTTCCTCTGCATTGGAGCGCGGAATGTACTGCACGGGAGTCTTTCTCGACATTGAATAGGCGTTTGATAGAGTCTGGTATCCCGGACTGATGTACAAACTCCGTAAATTCCTTTCACCTACATACTTCCTCATTATCCGTTCCTACCTTACTGACAGATTCTTCAAAGTCAATCATAACAATGCTTTTTCATCTCTTTTTTCTCAGTTTGCTGGTGTTCCTCAAGGTAGTATCTTAGGTCCTATCCTTTATACAGTTTATACAGCTGACATCACAACCCATTCCAACACTGTCATCACCACATATGCCGATGACACATGTATCCTATCAGTCAATAACGATCCATCTACTGCATCGCAAACTCTTCAATTACACATCACAAGTCTTGAAAAATGGTGTCAAAACTGTAGGATTAAAATAAACTCCAATAAATCCCATCAAATTACATTTACTCTTCGTCGTAAACCTATGACTTCCTGTCCTACAGTATCCTTTAACAATACCCCACCTATCCCTGTTGACCAAATCCGATACCTAGGACTCCACCTGGACAAACGACTCACTTGGAACCCCCATACCAGACTGAAACGACTAGAAACCGCACGACGTTTCCGACTACTCCAGCACTTACTAGACAAACGCTCTAAACTGCCAACTATTTACAAAAGACTCATATATATTACTATAATAAGGCCTATTTGGACTTACGGGATCGAGCTTTGGGACTCTACTAAACCATCAAATTCCTCTCGTATCCAATCCCTACAATCCAAAATCCTTCGTAAAATCCTTAATGCTCCCTACTTTGTCACAAATAAAATCATCCATAATGACCTGAATGTACCATATGTTTCCGACTTAGCTCAATCCAGATACCTGTCCTTTCATAATAAACTTCTGAACCATCTGAACCCTCTCGTTTACAACTTTGCTTCCTCTTCTATTCCTGATAACCCTCCGAAATTAATTAGTGTAAAATAATACTTTTATATTTAAGAATCAGAAAATCACATCACATGTCTAAAGTTTAATGTTGCGGTCAAAATGGAGCTGCAATGGTCATTCATAAATGACCATGAATTAAACTAATACAAAAAAAAAAAAAATATTCAACAACAAATTTTGTATGTAATATATTTTTATGTAAATATTGAATGCAGATTAATATTATAAATAAAAGGTAAGAAAACAGATGCACTAAAATAAATATACTTTCGAAAAGTCCCTGGGTAGAAATTTGTATGTCACATCTCACTGTACGAACGTTATCGAGGACATCTCTACCTGCCCTCTTAAGTCTATCTGGAATTGATATTCTACATTAATTTCGTTCGGACATTTTACGCAATATATTTCCCTTTTGGTTCTCAAGTTACTGGCCTAACATTCTTTAAATCATCCGCCATTTGTTAAATGGGCTGCTCTAGAATGGTTTACAAGTCTCATTTTACTTAGAATAACATTGTATTCAAACCTTCGTCAGCGATGAGGTCCCTCATTTAATCCGTGGGCTACTCCCCCCCCCCTCCGTCCCAACCGTGTACTTTTCCCTCTTCAATCCTATAAATTGCACATTAGTCCGTGGTACAGACCTTTTTTTTTATCGAATTATTAACACCAGCCTGAAGCTTCCTAAATAGCCTAAATGACCTACAACTATTTAATTACGAAAATTCTAGGAATCGGGGCGTTTTCAATCCGGAGATCGACAAAGTTTGTCTATTTAATTAAGCACTAAAAACTCACAAATATACATTTGCTTCTCACTTCAATCGTAAGATAATTTGACCACAAAATCGAGAAAACGGGTGACCTTTAAAAATATTGAACCATTTGGGTGACATACACCCCCAAAATAACAAGATAATATAGGACAAATTACTGGCATACTCTCATTTTCTTAAATATAAATGTTATAAACATTCAAAAAAATTATATCAAAGTTTCATCAAATAATTTAGATTTTTTTTAAGGGGCTATGGACTAAGAGGAGGGAGCTTATTTTTATCCATTGCATACTAATGCCCTTATGGAGATCACTCTGGATGTCCAGATGTATACCACTTATTTCCTATTTTTCTAATCATAGACCAATCATAAATAAAATATTATACTTCTTCTATTTCACTCAAAAGACTATTCAAGAAATCAGTAGACAAAAAACATTTTTCGTTAAAATTATGACCTAAGGCCATTTAACTAAAAATACATGACATTTTAATATGAGTGATTATTTGTTTTCTTGATTTTTGTATAAGAAAACATTTCATCTCAAACATAGAGATCAAAAGGGTTACTAAGTATTCAACAATAACTCTGGAATGGTGACAATATTTTTTTAACCAACTTTCATGACACTTTTAAAAATAGTTCCTCCAACACCATACTTAATACTCTTTCTATAAAGGTTGAATTGATTTATATTATTTATCATTTAATATTAAAAAATATAAACAATTTAAAAAATAGGGATTGTTCTGCAGGCTTCAGGAGAGGGAGATGCCTCAGTATATCATAATATCTTTACATAATATTTTTGTTGCATACATTATAAAGAAGAGATTGGGTTTCAGTGATGAATTTTATATTTAACTGGTGCTGTTGAAGATTTGTACCTGTGGTCTTAGGTTCCTCTCCAAGGCCCACTTGTGAAAAATCCTGGAAGGATGGTCAGTCACATAATAATCAGTTGAATAAATCAAATGGCCATTTCTTTTAGCACTGTTAAACATTTTTTTGGAATCTTCCACAGATTCAGTAAAGAAATTATAATTAATAGGATCCTTATTTTAATTTATAATGATTTAATTAACTTATATTGGCCAAGAGACCATTTTTATTTATTTTTAATACATAGGTACTTGGCAAATACAGTATATGATTTGTATATACAGATTTAGAATTTATTTACATTTTTAATATTAATAAGCTATTAATGAATACTATGTTTTCATTATACCAAATATTTTTTATCATTGCTGGAAAAAAGCTATCACAGTCCAGTTATTATATCTTAAAAGCATTCATTCTATGTTATTAAAAAAGCAGTAAAACATCCTGAATATAAAAACTTAATGTCCTCTTCCTCTTTTAAGTTTTACAAGGACAAAAGTTGCAAGGCAAAAGATTAATGTCCACATAATGACAGAAATAAATCCAGTGTAAACAACAGGATGTGAAATCGTCCAAGCTCTGTTGGAAATTGCCCTATATGATTCAGTTGCAAAAGACAAAGGGAAAAGCCACCTAATTCTTTTAAGAAAAGAATGCATTCCCTCAGGAGCCCAAAGCATACCTGCAACGTAAAGAAAGAAATAATGCAGTCATCTTTTCAAACTCGCATTTGTAGTTATTGATATCTTAGCTTTAACTAATGTATATTTATTTCTGTCTTTAAAACATTTATTTTATTTCAATTATGATGTTTCAACATACTATATAGGTGTATATATATGTAATATATATTTTGTGATTCATGTTTCCAATCATTATTTTATTTTCAGAATAGACTGAAATAAATAAATTGTTCTGATTTATCATGTATTATTTAAAGTAAATCGATTTTTTACCTTATGTCTGCCTTCTTATTACAACCTAACTGCTAATATTAATAGAAGGGTTAGAAAATCATAAAAGTTGCACGACCTATGTTAGTTTTGGTAAACTAGAGAATTCAATGGGTAATGAATATATTTTCTCCCTCTTTAATTTTGTGTCATTTTGATGAGATCAATTTTTCAGTTACCATATATCATAAATACACATATTTATTTATGATATATGATAACTGAAAAATTTATCTCATCAAAATAACACAAAATAAAAGAGGGAGCAAATATATTCATTACCCATTGAATTCTCTAGTTTACCAAAACTAACCTTAAATCACCTTCATCTCCCGCAGATCGATTGGAACTCTCAAGTTATTTCATTACTCCATCATCTACCACAACCTATCTGCGTGCTACTTGTATCCTCTCTTAATTTCTTCCACTTTGACTATGGCTGTGTGAGGTACTGTGGCAACCACATTGTATTCGAGGACAGATTGAATCGACTCATGAAGTTCTTCTTAAGATTTGCCTTTGGTGCTTCATGGTGGTCTCATGTGTGCCACCTTTCCAAGTTAAAGTGGCTCTTCTCTTCTCTCTGCTAGCAATATTCCCTTGGATCTAACCTATTCTAAACGATCAACTCCTGGCATCCTTCCTACATCTGCAGTCTCCAGCAGTTCAAAACCACAGTCCACTCCTAGAATACAAGATCCAGTGTTTCCGTCCTTTATATCCCTTCCCATAAAACTAAAACATTTGAAAATTCCTTTATTGCCTGATCCACTGCCTTCTAGAATCACTTGTCATCTGAAATTTGCCATGCCTCTTTCCTGTCCTTGTTTAAATTTCTTTTCACATCAGAAAATGACACTTTAGGATCATGAAATAAAATCTATGAATCAAATTCTGATTGAAGTAAATGGTTGTATAAATTGTTTAAGTTTTAATTTTAAGAATCATCTCGGAAATGTCTTCAGTTCGTCCAATCTTGGCAGGAGTTCCCCAAGGTTCAATACTAGCCCCTCTACTTTACGTTATATACACTTACGACATACCTATTAACGATGAGATCTTGACAGCTACTTATGCAGATGATACAACAATCATCACAAAACATCAAGATCCTACACAGGCTTCACTAACTCTACAACATCACTTACTTAAATTACAAGATTGGTTCACACTATGGAAAATTCGACTTAATCATGAAAAATCCAAACATACAACATTTACTCTTCGAAAAAACACCTGCACTCCAGTTTATATTGACAACAATCAAATTCCTCAAACGGACACGGTACTTTACCTTGGACTCACCTTCAACAGAAGGATGACATGGGGTCCGCATGTTAAAATGAAACGTAAGACACTTAACAAACGACTCAAACTACTTTACTCTCTTTTTTCTAAATCTTCAAAACTAAAACTAAAACAGAAACTGAATACATATACATACTTACTTAAACCCATGTGGATGTATTCATCACAAATATACGGTATTCCAAAAAAGACCCACCTACAAAAACTTCAAACTTTCCAATCAAAATTATTGCAATTCATAACAAAAGCACCATGGTACCTGACTAACAAAACTCTACATACTGACTTCCACTTTCCAACAGTTGACCAACATATAACATCCCTTTATCAATGAATTTACACAAATTTAAATGGACATAATAACAGACTTATAAGAGACATGGCCACAGCTGACATACCTCTGAACATGAGGAGGAGACTAAAAAGACGTTGGATGAGGGATCTCCTTCCTCCAGGTCTCACAGCTCTATTTAATAACTAATTTATGATATCATTGCATAGTACACTCTTAATTTGAGATTACTAGAGAATTTCCCAGATTTCTGTACCTTTGACAAAAAGTTCTAAATGCAGTCAATATGTGCTGGTCTATTTATGAACATTGAGGGTTACATTTATTGAGGGTGTTGTGGAGCTAATCTACTTAAATCTGTCCACTATCGGGAACAATTTTCCATATTAGTGGATATTTTTAGGTGGTGACTCCACAGCTCAGTCATGATACCACAATCAGCCACTGGTCCTTCAGGTTTTTGGGGGTGGCCGAGTCTTAGGTGCCTGGCAATGTGATAGAAGATAAATTGATAAAATAATTATAAGTTTGTGTACCGTTGCTGGAGAGCTTATAACTCTGCCATTAATCTCCTTCTCTCACCCTCTTCCATGGGAAAATCATAGCCTAAAAAGCGAGGAAGGAAAAAATTATTAAAGTATGTTCTTGTTCAGACATAATAATAATTGGAGGCGACTTTAATGAGGTCAGCAAAGAAGTTACCTAGTTCTCAACAATAGGATGACATAGACTACATGATGTCTGTAATGACAACGGCCATAGACTTGTTAACTTTTGCGCAACACAAAACTTTATTGTTGGTAGTAGCCTATTTCCTCACAAAAAAGTCTATCTTTGTTCATTTACATCTCCCCTCTCAATGGAGATAGAGTGAACCAGATTGATCAATTCCCCATAATTGTGAGGCATAGATCAAACCTTCTAGATGTCAATACTCTTTGAGGAGCTAATATGGACTCGGACCATTTTCTAACAATCGTTGAAGTGAGAGTCAGGATCTCTATAATCAAAATAAGACGAAGCCAAAGAAGTTAAAAATTTGACCTACAAAAGCTCAAGGTTCCTGAAGTATGTCAAGCATATATGTATAAAATTAATGACTAGCTCTTGGATATACCTGCTAGAGAAGATAAAAACGTTAATGGAATGTGTTCAGCCATTGACAGAACTATCTATGATGCAGCAGAGGAAGTAATTGGCCCTAACTGGATAGAAAAGAGATCTCCCTGATTCAACAAGCAGTATTAGCAGCTACCAGTTTGAAAAATGAAGCCTACAAACTGATTCAGAAGAAACATACTCGAGCCTCAGTTCATAGGTACAGCCAGCGCAGAAGGAAAGAAATGTGCATTCATTTATACAAAAAAAGATACTGAGAAAATAAAAAGTTCGAAGAAATAGGATGATTAAGAAGTAGTAATGAGTGCCATAAATTTTACCAGAAAGTGCATATTGGCCAAAAACTGATTAAAGCTCGAATCTTACCCAGTAAGGACATGAATAGAAAGTTGCAGAACAAGAAGGCAATTGAACTATAGAGATGGAGTTGCCAGTTTACCCGCCTGTTTAGTGAAAATCAGGCCCATGAAATTCAAGAAGAAGTTGACCTTAATCGAACTTTTGAAGATGAACTCAAGCCTCCAGACAAAGAGGAATTATGTGAAGCTGTTGACAAGTTAAAAAAAAAAACAAGGCGCCATGGCTTTGACTGTTGAATAGTTCAAGAAAGGAGGTGATCAGCTATTCCAAACTTTTCGCAATCTTCTTGTTGTGATGTAGATTGAGGTAAGGATTCCAGCAGTTTGGAATAAGATGGTTTTATATCCTATTCATAAGAGGGGAGATCTGTTGAAATGCAATAATTATCAAGGCATCTCTCTTTTGCCATGTGTCTGCAAGATTTTTTTTTCAAATATATTATACCAAAAATTGCTACACCATGTTGAGAGCGTCCTGTGGAAATATGGGGAAATATATTGTGTTCCCCTTTCTCTTGATTTAGAAGCTGCTAGAAATGTTCTTTTCAGATCCTTAATATCTTTTCTTTTGTTGGAGTCAATTTGCCATATTATTTTTTCAGATTTATGTATTTCTCATTTTATATCCTATCCTTTCTTTCTTGATGATTGATTTCCCTACCATCATGCTGACTATAGATTCAATGCTATTTATTTCATTTTTGTTATTTCTTCTGGTGTAAAAGTATGTGGCCATCAATGATCGTTTCACCATTATCTGGCTATTTCACCTCTTTCATGGATATTGATGGTTTATTGTACCTTTTTGTTTCATGAACAAATGTTAGGTTGACCTCTGGTCTATATCGATAACAGATTTTGTCTCTAATACAAAGATATGATTGTTAACATATTAAGGTTATTTGATATTATGTGATTAGTTTTAGGATTTGTGTTAAGATAAACATTGATAGAACATGGTTATCAGTCATATGCCTAGCCTCCGACCTGGGTTAGAGGGTTACGAGCTAGGTAGTGGGGACAAAGAATAGAGGGCTATCTCTGTTCAGTAGTTTAACTAGTATTTTTAATTTTAAGAATAGTTACTTTCATTAGAAAAAACCTATAATGAATCAAGTTTCAAGATTATTTATATTTATGTGATTGTATGATATGTTAAAATGCTAAAGTAAGTTAATTATTACTGGAATAGAATTTCTTGAGTAGTTTAATTATATATTCAATTATAAAGTAATAATTTAATGTATAAAGACAATGTCAATATCTTACCACATGTGAGTGTATTAGAGATTAAAACACCACTCATAATAAATGTTGCAGCTATTTCTGTATCACATAAAACTGCCACAAATAGACCTAATAAAAGAAGAACATAAACTTTAACAAATTGAGATAAATCATTTAAATATATCATAAGTATATAATTTATATAATTATTATACATTAATATATTAATCAAGAATTTTATTAATAACTTAAATATATATTACTTCTGGAAGAAATGTGATAAATAAGGGGAGAAGGAGAGAGGGAGAGAGTGAGATAGAAAAGAAGAGGGAGTGAGAGAATGGTATTATATTTTAAATATTAAATTTATTATTATTTTAAAGTTGCTTACCAAAGCACAATCCATTAAATCCCATTAATGTCATTAATGTAAATCCCAAAATGATGCTGCCATCAAATATGTGACCATAAATTCCATAAAGGATTATCACATTACAAGCGCTCTGTACCAAAAACAGCAACATGGTAATGGCCATGTATGCAGCCAGAATTTCCAAATTGGTGAGTCCTAGGAAAAGCATTGTATTTTATGCTTGATGAGTTTTGATAATTATATAAGGTTAGATGGATACAAGTTAGTTATGATAAGGTAATATCAGTTAGGATAAAACACATGTTGACATGATAAAAAAAGAAACATTTCATAATCCATCCAAGATAGCAATATGAAGAATTTATTTAAGAACAAGATGTGACATTATCATGTTGCCACAAGAACACCTATGATTTGGTAGTGGATCACTGAGTTGAAATTACTAAACAGAAGATGTTTGGTTCTTTAATAAAATATGAAGTGTAAAATTAAAAATGAAATTTTCGATATTTCAGCTTAGAAAATGCCAAAAAAAAAGTTATAGATACCCATATAATTAACACTGAAATCATTTGACCAAATGCTAATATTTTTAGATCAGTGGTTACTTAAATGGTTTTTCAAGAGCCCAAGAAGTGATGTGTGGGATGGTCTGGCAGCACATAACAAAAAGGTTTTATTGCATACTTATTCTGAGATTTGAGTGTTTGATACAATAAATTTACTATAAATGTTTCTCAAAATACGTTTTTTGGTATCCTAACTACAAACATTCCTCCTTTTGTCTGATATTAGAGAGTGGGTATTCCAAAGATAGGTTCACCAATCCTTCCCCTATGTCAGAGCTCTACAAACTTCTGCAGATTGTGAACCACTAATTTATATGACACAGTGACATAAAAGTACATATTCGGGGTTTTTAGCACTTTTAGGTGGGTTATGAATCACTTGCCTCTTAGAGGACATATAAAAGAAAAGGATTTAATAACATAAATTACTTATTATTAATGGTCAGCTTTTGCACTGACATATTTACAAACTTGAATCAGAGCAAATTAAATCTCATATCTGGACCATACCACATGACATCCACTGGTATTTGATAAAATCAGGAAAGGACTAATAGATGTATTATTCCTTGAAAGACATGTTTTAAATTTTTCTAAAGGAATGGGCTATTGGCGCATTGTTCCATAAACATCAAAACGCCTAATGGTCACGTTATCTAAACTTTGGTTGGATTTGCTGTTATCCTATTTATGTAAAGTTTCAATAAATGCGTGATGATAAAATATCTATATTGATTGAATAAGTACCTGATATTAAACTTCTTTCAACAATACCGCTCCTTTTATCTTGAAGGATAGGTAACACATAGGCTACAGGTAGAAAAAAATCCAATCTATAACAAAAATTGTTTCATTTACATTATTTGATGTAATTTTATCATTATAATTCTAAAATTTTTAACATCCTCTAAATTAGACATGGTCATAAAATTGCCATGCTACATAGTTCTTGTCAATTTATTTTAAACAAACAAGTAAAAATTTCCTATAAAGTAATATTTACTATACAAGTAAAGATATCCTATACAATCAACCAAAAAATAATACAAATGCAACCCAGTAAAATAAAATTTAATTTATTCATTTAAAAGATATCCCAAACTACCAACAAAAGAAAAATATAATTTATACATTGATAGAATACCTCATAAAATATTAGCTGAAGATATCAAAGAGGTCAAGATATCACTAGGAAAGCAGAGTGACCTAGCATTTGAAAATAGTGATAGATTGAGAAAGATAAAAGAGTAAGCAATCAAATAAGAACAAATTATCAAAAACTTACTGATTGAGAATAAAACTCTTAAATCGCAAATAAATGTTCTCGAGTCCAGGCTTAATCAAGCAGAACAAGCCCAACTGTCAAACAACTTGGAAATAAGAGGTATCATGGCTAATCCGGGTGAAACGACAGAGGGTCTGGTTTGCTCCATAGGGGCAGCTGTAGGTATAAAATTAAACATTGAGGACCTAGACTTCGTGGAGAGAAAAAAGAGCAGAAGCGAAGAGCCTCAGCCACCGCCTATCGTCGTGCGGTTTATCCACCAGACGGTACTTGATGATGTCATTCGCCTGCGCAAAGTAAAGAGGGATTTCTCAACAAGACATTTAGGCAGGGACACCGACGAGAGGATATGCATAAGCGAAGGAATGAGTCCTGGCAACAAACACTTATACTGGTTGGTGAGGCAAAAAAGGGCGGCGGCATGGAAGCTGAAGTATCTCTGGTTTGCCAGAGAAAAAATTAAATATAGAAGAGAGGATCGCTTTCCTGTCAATATAATTTATAAAAAAGAATATATTGAAGCCATAGAATGAAATATGTTTCAACTTTCATCCAACCCTTATGTTTTGAGTCTTAAATTTTTATTTTTTTAACTTTCTTTACTCATGCAGTTGTTCATTTCAATTTTTTACTATTATTTTAAAATGTAGATTTTTATTTTATTTTAAATTAAACATTATTTTTTTCTATGGTCATTCCGGCTTACGTTTGTTAATTAAAATTTATGTTTATCTTTCTATTCTATTATTTACTTCATTTTACAATATACTGTTTAAAAATGTATCCTCTCCTCTAATCTTAACTTTGATCTGTCCTATCCTACTGTTTATCCTTTATTTAATTTCTTAATGACTAATACCTTAATCTCCTGCTATGTGAACTCCCAAACCTTATTCCCTCACTGAAATCTCCTTTGATCCAGATACTTTTTTTTTCTTGATATCTCTCCAACTGACCTACTCTCTACTATCCTTAGATCCAAAACCAACGACTATTGTTCTGACCAAATTAATATAAAAATCATTAAACTCTGCCTTCCAAACTTGCTTCCTATACTCCTACACATCCACAAGTTTTCTCTCCAAAATTCCATTTTTTGTTAAGTATGGAAAAAAATCATTGTCTGGCCGTTGAACAAAGTTCCTGCTCCTTCACTAGCTTCCGACTTCAGACCCATTTCCATTTTATCCAAGCCTTTAGAAAGATTAGTTCACTCTCAGTTGAACAACTTTTCTGAGCAATACTGTCTCCTCAATCCTCTACAATTCAATTTTCATTACCAATACTCCACCCAATCTGCCTTATTAAAGATTACCCAAAACCTCCAATCATCCATAGATAAACAGAATATCTCCATCCTATTCCTTTCGACTTCTCAAAAGCCTTCGACTCTGTCAATCATAATATCCTCATTTCCAAACTCCAAAGCCTGCCCATATCGAATAGCGTTCTGAAATGATTCCTCTCTTTTTTATCCCATCGCTTCCAAACTGTTGTTATTCTTGACGAAACTCCTTCCTCGTCCCTTCAATTAACATGAGGTATTCCTCAGGGCTCCTCACTCTCTCCAACTCTGTTCTCCATTTATATTAGCAACCTTTCTGACTCCATTCATCATTCCCACTATCACTTATATGCAGACGATCTACAAATTTACTTATCGTTCCAACCATCTGAGATGCCCAAGGCTACCAGAAAACTACAAGAGGATATTGACTGTATCCATAGGTGGGCAGAAAAAAATAAACTGAAGCTAAACGCAGACAAAAGGCAATCCTCATCGGTTCCAAGCACCTCATTATTTGTTCCCTTCCTTTCTCTCCTTTACTTTACCTGAATAACTGTCCATCCATTTCTTTTCGACAGTCAAAAACCTCAGAGTGATCTTTGATCAGAACCTCTCTTGGAACAACCACATTTCCCAGATTACCCTGTAAATCCATAACTATCCTTAAACAATTCCGTGATTCCATTCCAAAAAAAAAACAGATAGCTCCTAATAACATCCCTTGTTTTCTCCCACTTCGAATACCGTTGCTTGGTGAATGGAGGGCTTTCCACAGGACTGGAGGCAAGACTGAAGAAACTTATCGATTGCTTCATAAGATTCATCTTTGAAAATAAAATAATAAATCACTAAAATTGTGCATGATTTATTTCCTGAATTTTTAATTATTTGTTTGCTAAATTCATGAAAATTTCTTCATTTTAGTCTTTAATTCAGTTATATTATAAATAAAACTAAAATAAATGTTAAGTGTTATATAAGTATTCTATTTTAATACATAATTAGGATAAACATCTTATTTATTTTATATTTTAATTTACCCAATTATCAGTTCATTTAAGATTAATTTTCAAATTGTGCGCTCTTTTGTGCCTGTGCCAAGGCTCTACAGGGCCTTGACCTCCACAACAATGCCTTTCCAATCCTCATGCCTTCTTATCAGCTTGTCGGTCTTTATTCTCCATTTTTTTATTGATATCTTCTGCAAATTATCCTCTACATCATTGATCACCTCAGTCTGGGCCTTCCTCTCCTTTCTTCTTTTGCCTCCTGGCTTACCATTCTATAGCTAATTTGGGTATATATCTTTTTTGGACAGATCTTCTCGCATTCCTGTGGCAGAACCGACATTTCACCTGCATAAATGACAATTGTTCTCAAGATTGTTCTATAGATAAGCAGCTTTACCTTCCGTGATAGGTTTCGAAAACGCAATGTTTTCCATAATGCAAAAATTCATCTGTTGTCTGCTGCGATTCTTGCTTTAATTGCTACAGTGGTGTCATTTTTTCTGTCACTAAAGTTCCTAGGTATTTGAAGCTGTCTACTTTCTTAAAAGTATGGTGGAGCAATAGCATTCTATCCTACCCTCCTGTCTCTCACTTTTTGAGGATATCATGTATTGGGTTTTTTCCTTGTTTATCTTCAGACCAAATTTTTTCTCAGCACCTTCAATTTCCTGATAGTGTGGCTTTAGATCTTGATGATATTACCACGTCATCAGCATATACCTAAGTGTTGGACGAGTCTATTATATATTGTTCCTCCTGGGTTCATCTTTATTACTCTGGCCGCTTTCTCCAATGCAATATTGAATAATACCGGGGAGAGAGGATCTCCTTGATATGACCCATTCTCCACCTCAAATTTTTCTGGCAGAGAGTTCTGTATCTTTACTAATTCTTCTGTTTATCATATCTGAGAGAACATTGTAGACAGTGGTCAGTGGGCATTCTGGGATATACCTTCATCGTTTTGGCATGTTAACTTGTCTCCCTTCTTATTTATCGGAATCAAATGTACCCCCTTCCAATCCTGTGGCATCTTCATTTCCATCCAGATGTCAAAAATAAGATTGTGGATCTCCTCCACCAGTTCTTCACCACCATATTTTAGAACCTCATTATGAATACTATCTTTTTCAGGAGCTCTATTATTATGGAGTACTCTGACTATTTCATCTATTTCCTCTCTGTCTGATGGTATTTCTTCATCCTTCAAAATCATTGAGTCTCTTTTATTCTGGGGTAGTTTGTCTTTGTTGGTTGATGATGCTCTGTTCAGGTTCAGTAGTTTTCCAAAAAAAACTGCTTCCATCTTTTCAGAACAAATATTTTATCTCCCACCAGTTTCCCCTCATTATCTTTAATGAATTTCAGCCTTGGTACATAGCCATTTTGAAATTATCTCATGGTTTTATAAAAGTTTCTGGTCTGTTTAGATAAAACATCTTCCTAAAGGTGTAGTTTGTCTTTATTGGTTGATGATGCTCTGTTCAAGTTCAGTAGTTCTGCAAAAAAAAACTGCTTCCATCTTTTCAGAACAAATCTTTTATCTCCCAACAGTTTCCCCTCATTATCTTTAATGAATTTCAACCATTTTGAAATTATCTTATGTTTTTATAAAAGTTTTTGTCTGTTTAGATAAAAAATCTTCCTAAAGTTTTCCTAACTTTTTAGATTCATACAGCCTTTTCTTTTCTTTGCATATGGTCATTGTGAACTTTCTTTCTTTTGACAATAAAGCCTTCAGCTGTTTTTCGGTTTCCTATTGAATCATTTCCTGCCTGGCATTGTTTCTTTCTTCAATGACCCTTACGCAGTCATCATCAAGCCAATCATTTCAGTTTCTTTTTGGTATGGTGTCTAGAATATCTTATGTCACTTCTCTGACAACATCTTTAAGATGTTCTTCTAATGTTCATATTAACAGACAAATGTTTTTCTCAGTTATTTATCTCTGAAATTGTTGAGCTATAGTTTCGTCTTTATTTTCTCAACATTTTGAGTGGTTGAACTCTTTTTTATTATTGTGGTCATTCGGCCACCCTGCCCACTCCATTTGGTTGTTAGAGCTACTTACGTTTTCTTTTTCTCTTATTGCCAGCTTTTGTTTATATAAAATCTTCACTAGATAATGATCTGAGTCACAGTTAGCTCCCCTATAACTGCGAACATCAAAAACATTGCTTGCCAGTCTGGCATCAATGAGAACATGGTTGATTTGATTTGGTCATGCCATCTAGCAAGGTCCATGTTTCCTTATGAATATCTTTATGAGGGGGGGAGGTGGAGGGGGAGGGGGAGAAACATGCTTCTTATCCTATGGTTTCTTGCCATTTCGACATTCTCTGTCCATTCTCGCTTGTTTCCTCATGTTTGCTGTGCTTGCTTATTATTAGGCACTTATAGCAATGCTTAAATACAATAATTCTTTTATAGCCTGTTCATACAAATATTATACCTGTAGGCCTCCCCTAATTAAGAGGGTAATGGTCTAACTTCCCTCAGGGACTAGCCGTAGTGGGAAGTAGGGCCGGGATTCGATCCTGTGATCTTTACTTTACTAGTATAGCGTGCTAACCACTCTGCTATACCAGCCCCTAAAAATTAATTGTGTTTGAATAGCAAATAAAAATATAGTAATTAATAATTTTATATACATACATTGACACAATGCCAGGCACTGAGAATTCGATGAACCCAGGGTTATCCTTTCCAAACACTGGTACATTGAACTGTAAATAAATATATCTTACAATGATGAATTTAGAATTACCTAGTTTTTTATACCATTTCTGCTTTATTTAATTACTTTGTTATTACCTGGATGGGCAGCAAAGTATGGTTTACAGGCCACTGACATGTTTGTGATAAATTTTCCAAATAGTCAAAAAACGTGTGGTATACCGTGTATTTCAAAAAGTCTCCTATTACTTTATCTAAAATTGGGATAATGAAAATATAATTGGAGTTGTACATTGATAAACTAATTGACAAATTGAAATTATTGTATTTTTACTTGTTGAGTCAATCCAAACTTTTACTTCACTTTGTTCAATGACACTATCGGGAGTAGTCATGCTCTTGTATAATCTCTCTTGTAAAGATTCTGTAAAGTTTTCAGATATGTGCAGGATGCCTTGAATCTTATTTTTCATAAAATTTTCAAAAGCTGTCTCTGTATCATTATAAGTTACCTGAAGGATTTAAGAGGATTATGATTAATACTAAAATTATCATATTGCATATGTGTTTCTGGAAAAAAAAATCATGTTTTTCCCAATGCAAATCTTAATTTCTGTAATTTGACTGAAAGTTTCTCAACTTGAATTCAGCTCCACTCTGTGCCTTGAGTTGCACATACTAAAGAAAAATCTGCTTCATTCGGTACAAGAATGAGACAGCTCCACCCTCTAGTTCCAGAGAAATTCGGCAGATGGAGCTGCCAGTACTCCGAGTTTTCCAGTTTGCCTGAAAATGGAGGTAGCTCCGGAAGCTGCTTCCTTCTTCCCCCAAATGAAAGTATAAAAGAGGTTATGTTACGCAGTGGTCAGCAGACCATGTAAACATTGCACCTTCTCTGTGAGAGATATTCGTTATCAGGTTTATGATCTCTTTTGTGGATTCATCACTTGTGATTTCATTATTTTTGTCATTATGAGTGAATCAGAAGAAGAAGGATTTTTTAATTGTGACTCTTCAGATAGCTACGAGCCAGGTGAAGGTTAGACGTCTACTGATTCACAAGAAGATGCAAGAAGCAGGGACGTGGTAGTTGGACCACTGAAGAGGAAAAAGGATCCCACAAGAATCAATGGGAATGGAACATAAGAAACTAGTGGAAGCTTGCCGGAAAGCAGTACAAGAAAGAGCAGGAGTGAGAAAAAACATGCAAAGGACTACAAGTAATGATTGCAGTTGCAAATACAAGTGTTTTAATGAATTAGATGTTGAAGCAAGGCATCGTATTATTAATGCTTTTAATGGCCTAAAGAATAAGCATACCCAAGATGTGTATTTGGCTGGTTGCATTAAAGTTTTACCTGGTAAAAGAAATAGGACAAAAAGTGGAACAAGAAAGCCCAGGGTGTTTTAAAATGTTTATACTGTCCTTATTTTATACTGTTTATAATGTTTATACTGTACGAATCAGTGAGAGGAATGCAAGAGTCTGTAAAAAAGTGTTCGCGTTACTGTATGGTGTGTTCAGAAAGCAAGTAGAAAACATCACTTAGCAACTTTCTTTTGATGGAGCTATCTCACCAAAACCAGATGGTAGGGAAAAGAATAATACAAGACACAAAAATACTCCAGATGAAACTGTGCAAAAAGTGCATTGTCACATTGACAGTTTTCCTGGGCAAGAATCGCATCATAGTTGACGAGACAATGGCAATAGACAATACTTGCCTGCCGACCTCACTATCAAAGAAATGCATCCTTTGTACATATAGAGAAGCACTCTGAATCTCCAGTGGCATATGATTTTTATTTTCGGTACTTCAAGACATATATAATGTATAACTATTTTACATGAATATATTGCTTTGTCAGGCAATCATAACCTTTAGCAGTTGCTTCATTTCATCAGTCTCTCAGCAGTATACTCAACAAAGCAAAGTTAGCCTAATTTTTGAAGAAATATTGAGATTGGGAGCTCATAAAACATTAAGATTCCTACAGCAATACCAGTTTGTTGTTTGTTGAGATGGATCCAAATTGTACTTTTACATACTACACAAAAAGAAATCTGCTATGCAATTTAGCATAAAAAAATCTATTGAGCAAAAAATCTATTGAGATCTTCATTTAGAGTTTGAATATATTTACAAATTATTATGTAAGATTTTATGCTAAATTAAATATCTGATTATATCAATTAAAATTTTTAAAAAATCAATAAATAAATAAAATCTTCTTCATATCTCGATATTGTTCTAGAACAGAGTAAATAATATCCAAGGAAATGAAACACCTATGTTTCAGATGTGAAGAAGTTGTCAGTTTCCTGCTTTGATTAAATTTTTATTAAAATGATTACTATACAAAATAAATTTTGTAGTGAGACAAGTGACTAAGTAAATGCCTGGTAATAATAGAAATTTTTGATAATAGGGTGAAGTTTTGTTCCAAGTAGGGAACAAATACTTGAACAAACCTATCACCAATTCTTTGTTGATTGTCACAACAGAAGATAATGAATGTCTATAATAGTGTTCATGATAAATAGAATCGATGAGTCGATCCCAAAAAAGATATATTAAGAATCGTTTAAATTCCAATGCTAAATTCTCCTACATTCCTCCACATCTTAATGGATAATAAAACTCTACTTCACTTGATTTTAAATTGGGAAAGCTAAGATATGAAGGTTTTTTTTAGAAAAATGGTACTGCTAAAAATAATTTTCCAATTTATTCTTCTGATTCCTAAGAATAAAATTAAAATAACTTACTGGAATAATATTTTGTTTTTCGAGCAGAGTCAAGTACCCACAAAATGCTGGAAAGCAGGTGAGATTTGAGAAATTTTCACAGTTTCCATGTTGGATTGACAATTCTTCATTGATAACACCTACTTTTAAATCACGGGGTATTCTCCCTATTGTATACTGGAAAAACACACAGGTTGATATCGGAAGGAAAAACATTAAAAACCATCCACTGTAACAAACATAATTTGCTATTGTAACATTATCTTAAGTACATTAAGGTTTAATTTACTAATATTTCGAGTAGAGTTAACATGAAAAATATGAATTCACTTAAAGTACTTACAAAAAACCATATTTTATAAAGTATAAATTCTTCAAAAAGTACCCTATGAAACAATTGAATGAGAACAATTTTTCATCACAAAGCGGTAATTTTGGTTTCACTGATGGTTTCAGCACTTTTTCCATCTACAATATAAATAAAATATACTTTCAAATAATATTTACAAAAAAGATTATGATTGTTCTTAGTAATAATTTAGGATCAGTTCTTGAATTTCAAAAGTTTATGATGCCTTGAATGAAACCTAATTTATTCTGTGAAATATTTATTGTGAGAGCGGAAATACCTGGTATATCCACTAATATGATTTTTCTTAGCTTCTTAGCAATTTTGGTACAAAATCTAATCATAAAATTGTTTGCTATAAAAATGCTGTTACAAAACCTTTGATTTTTATCGATGAGGAAAGAGTTTGAAAGAAGAGCAATAAAATTAAGTTTGCCCCCTCCTCCCCCTTTAATAATCACAGTTCTGGCTATGTTTAGCCTAACAAGTGTACTTCATTTCGATGGAGGTTTTATTAATATTTCTTTATGAAGATTTTGTAATCCAAATAGACAATTTTTATTAATAATGATTTTAAAAAAATTATATTTATTATTCTCAAATTTTATTGAAATTTGACTTATTTTATTGATCTCTAACTATTTTTCTTATATCTTTTTATACCAGCCAGCTGATCTACATTTAACTTGTTGAAATAAAATTTAATAAAACAAAATTACCTGTAAATAACACTTTTTACTGTGGAGAATTATATAATTCTTTGTCTGCAATATTAATAATATTAATAATAAGGAAACAATTTATTGGATGTTATTTTTTATTATCTTCCATCTTTTTTTTTTTAACAAAAAAGTAAAAATTATACAATATCAAACTAATTATTGTTATTTTTAACTTTTTAAACTTGCAAAAATGGTGGAAAACTGTAGTGATCTTTGTTTGACAATTTGGTAGGAGAAAAATATGATTATCATTATTATATAATTATATTATCTATATTATATGACAATTATTTGTTCTTATAGTCCACTTTAGTAGGGTCATCTCCTCTTCATACCATCTGGACAATATTCCTCAAGAACATAATTTCATTTAAACATAAATCAATAACAATTTTTTTTTTTTCGTTCTCCCCTTCCTCGCCTTTTAGGCTATATGGTGTATTCCCGGGCCAGGAAGAGAGGACGGCGGGTTTATGAAAAACTTAAAAGCCCCCTCTCCCTCTGACACTGGGATGCGAACTTGTAATTATTTGTATCCAATAATATCAGATTGTCTTAACTCATAAAAACCTTCATTTATATTTAAACATTATTATTTATTTTGCATCCCTCCCCTTCCCACCATGACCCATCTACTGTAGAACAGAATGGCTGTAACAAGCTTTTTACTTACAGCTCCTTATAATCTCGTATAGTGAGTGTGCAAATTTACTTATTTGTAATAAATACGTTTTTAAATGTTGTTTCCTTTTAACAGTTACCAATTAATATTGATAAATAATTATAAAATTGACTAGTTCCAGGGATGTCCCTTCTCCCAAAAAAGTCTAATTGCCTTCTCTTCTCATAAACTTTGCAAGTGAAAGTATAATTATAAAAATTGTAGTTCATTTAACTTGATGTAGCATCCTTTTCCATGTTTTTCTCTTTTTAATTTTTTTTTTCTTTTCGCCCCTTTCTGGCCTTTTACGCTATACAGGGTTTTCCTGAGTCCTGGGGTGAGGGAAGAAGGTTAATGCCAGAGTTAAAAAAGCTCCCAAGACACCGGGGCACAAACTCTAATTATTTTTTCCTCTAAACTTCGGTTATCAGCTTGCCAAGCAACATGCAATGCAATGCACACATGTTAACCCGCTAGGCAACGCTGTTACCTTTTTAATAGTTATCCTAAATCAATACTCCACAAAAATATGATTCCATCCAAAAATTCATAACCTAGGAAAAATTTGCTCTTTTTTCTCCTACTCACAAAAATTTTGATGGAGCAACTATGCCATGTCACCTGCTTCTGGGCACTTCTGACTTGTTCCATTCTTTTAAGCTCAAACTAAATTTTCAATTGTTTAAAGAGATTGGTTTTATATGAATGAATTAAATTATAAAAAATTGAAGCTATTTCTGATAAAAAATTATCTTGTTTTATAACAATTGATTTAATTAATAACTTACCTCAGTATTATCACATCTCTCTGATTCTTGGATATAGCTTAGTTTGACAAATACATCTTCCAGAGTATTACAGTCATAACGGTCCATGAGAGATCTCGCTTCTCCTTCTAAAACCAGAACTCCTTCCCTCATCATTCCAACCTAAAAAAAATAAAAAATAAAATTAGAAATATTTTTTTATTATAAATACCTAATATATAATATGATAATGCATTCATCTTGTAAAATGCCTATCCTGTATCCTCCGATGATTTAAACTCTTATTTTATATCTATCGCTAATACCTCTTCTCTACCTTCCTCTTCTGGCTTTGCTCCAGAGATATCCTTTAACGACAATAACTTTTATTTACTACCGCGGTAATGAAATCCCACACCAATTCCATAGGGCCAGACGGCATTCCTGTCAAATTAATAAAACTATGTCTACCTGAAATCCTCCCAGCTCTCCTTTTTATCTACAATTTCTCCCTTCAGAATTCAGTATTCCCTACCTCTTGGAAAAAAGCCATTGTCCTTCCTTTAAATAAAAAGTCTAATCCATCCTCACCCGAAGATTTCCGTCCAATTTCAATTCTTTCTAACCTCTCAAAGCCTCTTGAAAGACTGGTGCAATCCCAAGTCTCCAAGTTCCTCGAAAAGTCCAACCAATTTGATCCTCTCCAATCTGGTTTCCGTCCCAGTTATTCCACACAATCTGCCTTAATTAAAATTACCGACATTCAATCTGCAATAGATGATAGAAAATTAACTGTCCTTATTCTTCTAGACTTCTCCAAAGCTTTCAATTCCATCAACCATTCCATCCTCTTCAACAAACTAAAATCATTATCTTTCTCCAATAGTTCCATCTCTTGGTTCCAATCTTTCCTCTCCCAACGCACCCAAGCAGTCTCCATACCCAACCAACCACTATCTGCTTTCCTTTCTTTATCCTCTGGAGTTGCCCAGGGTTCAAGCATATCTCCTCTCCTTTTAAGCTCCTACATTAACGACCTACCTAAATCAATTCTCCATTGTTCCCATCACCTTTATGCAGATGATTCCCAGATCTACCTATCCTTTTCTCCCTCTGAGTTACTGGGGGCATTTGCCAAGATTCAAGAAGACCTTGATCGAATCAATGCCTGGGCAAATGTAAATGGATTAAAGTTAAATGCTGCCAAAACTCAAGCCATTGTCATTGGTTCCAAGCCCCTCATTAGATCCCATACTGACTTTCCCATATTACACCTTAATGACCAGCCAATTTCCTTCTACTCCTCTGTTAAAAATTTAGGATTTTTCATAGATCAAACCCTCTCCTGGACCTACCATATTTCTCACATTTCCCATCGGACAATTTCTACCCTTAAACTATTTCATCGCTTCCGCCATCTCCTATCTCAACATATCCGTAGACTCCTTATTTCCTCTCTCATCTTCCCCCACTTTGACTACAGCTGTGTGGTGTATGATGGCCTCTCGGTGGAGCTCCGTGATAGACTGAAAAGATTAATGAATAGCTGCGTAAGATTTGTTATTGGTGCCCCGAGGTACTCCCATGTCTCTCACCACTACACTGAGTTTGGCTTCACAGGCAATTTTTTCTGTAACTATAATTTGTTCTAAAGGGACAACATTCTCAGGATAATAAAAGATATTTTCATTTCATAACCATAGTTGCAACTCTCATTACTTGACTCCAATAATCAATGAAATTTTAGCTTCCATTTCTCTTAAACTGAGAGACAAAGCTTTGAAGGATATATCTCTATGGTAGGAACAAATCATCTAGGATATCCTAGGTGATCAAGAAATATTCCAACATTGAGATCCCATACCTCTTTAATTCTATTTTTGCTAGAGAGACATCGTTATAACAAAGTTTTTTTTTTAAATTTAATTAAATTGAAACATTTTATAAATATTATTAAATACAATGTAAAAGTCTTTACGAAAAATGTTTAAATTTTCTTCTAATAGTAAGTTATATTAGGTAAAAAAAAATTAACATAATCTATATTACACTAATTTTGAAACCTGAATATTTATGATAAATGGATTTTTCCCAAGTAAAGAAAGTATGATTTTCAAGTTTCAATATCTCATTGTTGACATGAAGAAAAAACTTACAAGATTTTGTGCATTGAACACAAAGAAAGAAAAATAAATAAGAATGAATGAATGAGAAATGCTTTATTAAATATTTATAAATAATAAATTTCCAAAAATACACTGAACATTTATACAGTATGATTATTCGTCTGCCGAAAAATAATTAAGATTCCTCATGAAATTCATAATTCAAAATCTATTAACAATTGCACTTAACCCCTTATGTATTACCTTATTACTTTGTCTTGCTTCTTCAATGTAGTGTGTAGTCAAGAGTATTGTTTTTTTTTCAACTGTTGATAATTCCAATAAATACTGCCAGATACTGGAAAAATATCTTAGTTTAGCTTATATTTTATTTAAAATATTTATTATGGATTTCTTTTGAAGATTGCTTTTAAATTAAATTACTTGTGACTTAAAATTGGGTCTATTCCAACTGTAGGCTCATCTAATATCAGCAATTCAGGATTGTGAAGAAGGGCAAGACATAATGATACTCTTCTTTTTTGTCCACCACTAAAAATGATATATACATATATATTTTTATTATATTACTCTGATTTATACTATAAAAAGCATAAATAACAACTATAAATGTGTTATTTCATAGCTACTATATATTTAACATGATTTTGTTATTAATTCATTATTTTTTAAGTATTAAGTTAATGCATTGTGTTAGTGGAATTAAAATTACCTTAATTCCATAATTCTTCGATGTTCTGGTGGGATTTCCAAGAAGGAAAACAATATTTGTTTTCTTTCTTCAAGTTTATCACCTCTTATACCATAAATCCAACCATAATAACTTAATGTTTCCTTTATATTGATTTCGCCGACCAAACCAATATCCTTAATGTACAGAATTAAAAACATATTATATACACAAAGTATGATCAATTTATGGAGTAATCTAAAGTTTGATTAAAAATTATATAATTTTGCATCTAATAATTGCAATGTTGATTACAAAGTAATTATTCATGTTGACACAAAGCTTACATATTGAGTATTTATAGTAAAGGTTTATAATAAAAGCTTATGGTTTAAATTCCATTTTAATAGGCTTCTTTAAACTCAATGATTATTTATTAACAGATTAAAGGATATTCCCAACAAAACTTATTTTATGGAATTTTTTGGCATACATTTTTTTTTTTTGTGATAAAGAATCCAGATCAGAAGCTAAACGTTGTGAAGTTGAATGAAATATCACAGAATCAGGAGAAAAGCGTTAGGCTATAACCATTAAAAAAATTAGTACTTTTGGTTTGACCACTGTGGATTTCAGATACATATTAATATATAATATCATATATGTCACATATGTACATATATATTATTTCTTCCACTAAGATCTTATGTTCGCTAAGATAAAAGATGTTTGTTTACTGCAGTGAGTAATGTACAATTTTTATCAAAAGTGACTTTTTCAGATAAAGAAGTTTCTTTTAAATTCATGAGAGAGATTTTGAGGATACTTCCCATCTTTCTTGTAGCTTTTAGATTATAAAAAATGTATGACTTTACAAATTATGGTTTTCAACGAGCTCTATTAAAATTGGCCATTAACAGCAGAAGTTCTTGTATTAATTCTATTATATAGAAGAATGAGAAGCCAAGGATACCAGTGATTTTTTATTCAGTTATGATGCATGTAGAATGAGAAATTGCTTAAAAAAATTTGGTCCATAGAAAGCTAAATTGTTATAACCTGCTCTAATTTAGTTTAATGGACAAGAGCTTTAAACCAAAAGTCATAACGCAACTACTTCAAGTACTTTTAGTCAAGTTCCCACTAAAAACTAATGCTCCAGGAGTAAAGGCAAACAAGATTATAGAGATTTGCTAGATTGCTTCAGTTTATTCCTCCACCTAACCATCATTTCTTACAATTAATTGTGAAGTGAGAGAGGAACCAAATGGAATTGTAATGGAGGAAGAGTCCAATGTTGAAAACCACAAAGCTTTGGGGAAAGGAAGGAGACAAGTTATATTTTGGACAAGTTAGAATAAAAATAACCTGATTTGAACCAAAATTTCTAAAGGTTACAATGTAGGAATTATTGAACAACTCAATGACATATTTGGGGTGATATTTTCAATAATGGTTATACCATTAAGAAGATTTCATTACTGAATACTATAGATTTATAATAACAAAATTCTTGTTTGGCATTTTCTACTCCTATTTATCACTACTACTTATTTACCTTTGGAATCTGTAGGTGTAGAGATTTTGTTTTCATAAGAATATAACTCAATATTGAAGGAGGATTTATAAATTATGCAAGAACTATAAGTATAATATAAAGTTGAAAATTTTCAAGAATTCATCAAAATTTTATACTTCAAAATTGAAGTTTTACAAAATGATTAAATTATCAATTGAATCACTTAGCTTCTCAGTCTCTTATAATCAAAACTGATATTTCATAAACTTTGTGAATTTATTCTATATATGTTGAAGAATGTTCTCACTTCTACCTGCAGTTCCAATGACTCCAAATGTTAGTCTTTTTTTGTATCATAGATCAATTGATACCAAAAAAACAGTTAAATAAGTAAATTAGAAAGAAAGAAATTACTATACTTGTGGCATGTATCCAATGTTAGATCTGTCTTGAATCTTTAGTGTTATTTCTCCACCATCAATACGACATCGGCCAACGATACTCTTAAGAAGTGTTGTTTTACCACAACCACTTGGTCCAAGAAGAGCATATCTAAACATGGAAACAGAAAAAGATGCTGTTATTAAAAGATAAATGAGGATGCTAATAATAGTTCTACTTGTTTTAAGTTAAATTACTAATATATTTAAGATTGTACATATATTTATTGTCCATTTCATATAAAATCTCCTTACATGGACCCCCTCTCTACTGTCATACTGAGGCCTTTAAATACAGCTGTATCCATATATGAGGAACTTGAAAAACCACTGGTGTAGCTTTTGTAGGCATCTCGAATTTCAATGATGTTGTCTGGAACATTGACCATGTTTGGTTCATTTGGCATTTATTCCCTATTTTTAAATCTAGCGTCAAGGCACAAGAACTCCCTGCAAGAGTATTGAAATACGTTGTATGTATGTAAGCAGCTAATGAACCTGTAGACAAATAAAAAGAAGAAGTAAAGTATAAGTAACATTATTTTCTATTTTTAAAAAATGAGCTTATTAGAGTGGAGATGTTATAAATACATAAACCAACAAAAATTTTACCTGACTAGTTTGCAATATCTAGAGCAAACATATTCTCTGACTTATTTTCAGATATAGTATGGTGCTTAAACATTTCAACGGGGCCTTAAATCTAAACAGTGTTAGTTTTTTTTGTTGAATTGTATATTTGAGAATAGCTTTATCAATAATAACAAAAAATTAATTATTTGCCAAGAACGGGGAAAGATAAGAAAAAGAAACCAAGCAAGCGTTTTTATGAATACAAATTAAGACAATATAGTTATTAGTACTAGACCATTTTAGTTACTATAGTAAAACTTTTCAGAAGTAGACACTTACTAGAAATAAAAAATTGTCTAAAAAAGATGTCCATTTTAGAAAAATAGGAAAAAACATGATGAAAAAAAATAGAAAACTAAAATTGTATTTTATAATTAATAAATCACGAAAATAAAATCGTATATTCTATCAAAACATTTTTCTTTTTAAATTTACAATTTATAAATGTATTTATGAGGAATAATCTATTGGTACAAAAAATTGCACATATGAAATGTAAACTTGTTTGCAAATACAAAAAATTTGAAATCTGTAATTTTTGTTTGAACTATCATAACTATCTTATTTTCCAAATCGTTATGGATAGATACAATCGTTACAATTCTTTCACTTTCCTCCTTCAAAATGAAAATTGTTTTTTAGCCTACAAAATTGTGATAGGACTTCTTCAATATTCATTGAGGATTTAGAGAACTCAGAGATCTCGAAAATGTATTGGCAGCTTGGTTTTTAATACCTGTTTAACTTTGGACTGAAAGGATTTGATGTGTTTGATGTAAACAAATTTTGCTGTACCCCAAAGTTCAAGTCCGTAGGTCCAAATAGGCTTCAGTATTGTCTTACAGATCAGCAATTTGTTGTAAATTGAAAGCTGAGATTTTCTAGTCAGTAGTCTGTATAATTGGCCGTATCGTCGGTTAACTTCTTGTCTTTTAAGTCTAGTATGTGGGTTCCACATTAGTCTTCGGTTCAAGAGAAAGCCAAAATACCGGATTGTTTCTGAAAACGAAGCTGGGTGGAATTAAAGTGGACTGATGGACAGGATCTGCGCCGGTAATGTGTTTGCATTTGGATTGGTTAACATTGATGCGCAATTTATTACACCATTGCTCAATCAGAGAGAGTTCTCTTTGCAGATTTCGGGATCTGAGTTGAATGATAGGATGGCGGTGTCATCAGCAAATGTTGCCTGGAAGGTATCAGGATGGACAGCGGTAAAAAGGATATATAGAGGACGGGGCCCAATACACTACCTTGAGGAACACCGGCTTCAACTGGGTAGGAATTGGAAAATTCTGTACCACAGCGAACTCGATATTGAGGTATATTATTTTTCTTAGGAATTTTTGAGGAGAGACTTGGGGAGGAAGCAGTCCAGATCGATTGTTGAATGGTGGTGGTAAATGAATGCACGGCATTATTGAGGTATTCTGGGGTTTTCAGGGTTATTCTGAGGTCATTTTTATCGGAAAGGATTTAACGAAACAGTTTCCAGTTAATTGGGCCTCTGATGAAGGATTTACGATGATGGGTTTAGGAATAGGAGCTATTGATAATTGAAGTATTAATGGACTATGATCTTAGGAAAAGTCGTCAAGACGGATAAAGGAATGGTTGAGGGACCTAAACTACTGTGGATGAAAAAATCTAGGATATCAGGATTGCAGTTAGGATCAGGGAGCCAGTAGGTTGGTGAGTTGGGTGGAAGGAGTCTGAAACGTTGGGCATTGGAGTGCAGACAGCAATATTCTGCCACGAGAATTCGTGTTCTTGAGCACCATTCTTGCTGCTTGGAATTTAATTCTGCACCCAGCATGAAATGATGGTCTAAAGAGTTTAGGAGAGAGCTGAACTGGACTTTGGATATGGATCTGTTAGGAGGGCAATATGCTGATGCAAGGGTGAAAACAGCGGCTCTGGAATTGAAGACAAGGTTAATTTTACTTAAAATAACATAAACTTTCGTAATTTACAATCAAACCTTCGCCTGGCGATTAGGTCGATTTTTGGGCCCTAGCTCCAGGTCTGTGAGAGTAGCCATGCCTGTTTATTTTTACTATTTATTAATAGAGGTTTTCCCTTCCATTAACTTTTTTCAATCGATTTGTAATGTACCGAACAAACTATCATAAATATCAACATTTTTATCCTTAAAATCTAAACATGAGATAAGTATCCCATGCCCATGCCAATGAATCTTTTTTCATAATCTGGGAATAAAACGAAATCTTGAAAACTAATTAGGAGATAACAGCAGCTATATAGAAGTAGTAATCAATTTCCTTAAAAAATAATATGCTTCACTAAATATTTTTTTTGTCTATAATAATGTATTTATGCTGGTCGACATATTTTTGACAATCAGCAAATGTGATAACGTTGTGTGTGCGGTCGATTGTAGGAAATCTTGAGTAGGTAATGGGAGTAAGTGATGAGAGAGGGCTTGGTGTACGATGACAACAGCACCGGTTTGTGCTCTGCCGTCAGGATGGTCAGTACGGTATGTTATGTACTGTGGAATTTTTTAATACTGTTTTCTAGTCAGTCGAGTTTTTGTAATTAGGGCTACATCAATATTCTTGTCTAGTAGTAAAGCTGTTATTTCGTCAAGGTGATTTTTAACACCATTCGTATTCTAAAGGAGTATAGATATGTGTTTGAAGGGAGTCGTTTAAGGATTTTTCACAAGAGGTATGAGATGAGATACGAGATTCGTAAGGAGTGATATGAGTGGGGTAACCATTGATTTTAACTCTATGAGGAATGATGATAACAAACTGGTGAGATCTGTGGCATTTGAGAGAGGAGGAATTTGAGGTTGTTGATGGTTAGGTATTTGAGGATGAACAGGATATTGAGGTTGGGGTTGAGGTAGTTGCTGCGGCAGGACTTCACATTACGGTTTGATCCTATTTCGTAATCCTGGCTGCTTCCTGTCCTCCTTCAAAACGTTTGTTATCTGGCGTACATTGAAACCAAGCGTCGTTAGTTCTTCTTTAATAACTTCAGTGGGGGTTGAGGAGTGTAACTTTCTTATTACCACTCGTAACTATCTCCCCTGTTTCAGCTGGTATTTATGGAAATTCGCATTCGTTTCTGAAAGGTAATTCACACTTTTTTAGTAGGTATCTGTAGTATGTTATCTGGTGTTATTTTTGTATAGTTCTTCCTGTTGAAGCAAGAATAACTGCCAGAGCAGATTTTGTTTTGTTGTGTAAACAATAATTGGATTTTTAAAAATATTTTTTTCAAATATCGGAGGAGGCATTGGTTCCCTGGGTATTGCTGCTGACTCCATTAATTCTCTGTCATTCTGAAGCACTTGGAACGGGTTTCGAGTAAAGAAAGGAGATTCTTCAACCATTTCTTGCTAATACGTACCTGGTTGAGGCTGGGGTTCTGGATCTGAATTGTTGACTGGAGCGGTTTCTCGTAGGCAGCCAAGAGTTCTTTTTTTGGCTGGTGAATCACGAGGGGTACTAACGCCGTCTAACCGAGTCCTCTTAGTGGGCACCTTACTGGATACCACTAGGTGGCAATACCGCGTGTCATAAAAGGAGAAAGGAAAAAAAAATAAAAATAAAAAAATATATCAAACAGTGGATATCAACTGCTCTAATGTACACTTGAACTGTATTCAGTGAATAATCAGTGAGATTCCGATGAAAAATAGGAAAAAACTGATAGACGAGTTGAGAACAAAACCGTCGCATCAGTTGATCCACTGCCTTCTTGAGTGTATAAGTTAATAAAATCATTTTAAAATAAATTCTACGTGGTAATCCGTTTCTGAAATATAAACTTGTCAAAGAAAATATATTTTTCTATGTTTAAGCAAAGGTATAGAATGGAATTTAAATGTAGAGATGGGCAAAATTGTACTCTGAGTAAAAAGTACAATTACAGAGTAATTTACTCAAATACTCGCCCGGTTCGAGTATCGAGTACTTCAATCATTACTCGAGCTCATGATTGACGAGTACAAAAAGTAATCAGCTGTCCTCGTGAGTACTTTCTATTTTCAAATCTACTCGGGAATATTTTACTCTGAGTACTTTTCAAAGTAATCGAGTATTTCATTATAAAAATTACAGGAGTAGAATATTTAATATTTCTTCTATGTTTAAGTCCATTGTTATCTTATGGGGGTATAGTTTTTTAAAATAGTATCGATATTAATGTAAATCGATAAAATAAAGAATTATTAAAATATTTTCTATTTAATCAACTTTGGGGCCATTTTTTTTTTTTTTTTTACACCACTTGACTTTTATGATAATGCTGTCGGATTTGAGATAGTGCCCCCGGGCCCCGACTTTTTGTAACTTTCTGGATTATATCGACATCTGCGTCAACTATCAGGTTTTGGGGGACGCTTTTTATGAAAATGATATCGAATTTGAGATTGGACCCCCCGAGCCCCGACTATTTTTAACTTTTTCAATTAAATCGATATCAGGGTCGACTATTATGTTTTGTGGGGCGCGTGATGGTTAGTCTAATATTGATTAATGGGGGCTCGGGGTTAGTCAGGTCGAATATGGCCGCTATTATTGAAGGAAATAAAAGAAAACATTTTTACTCTTTATAATAATGACGGAGTAGTTGAAAAATAAAAAGTACTTTTTGTAGGAATTCGGCTGAGTACTTTCTGTAATTCGATATAACAGTGCGAGTATTTTTTGTACTTAACTAATTCATGATTGACGCAGCGTGAGTACTCTCAGTACTCGCTGATGTCAGGCCGAGTACAGAAACTACTCGATACTTTTTC